GTGGGTGGGTGAAATTGATTGACAGTTAGTAGATCACGAGGAGAACCGCGCTCTTTGTTTTCGCATGATAATGAAAATTGCGAAGATTATTTTCTGAGAGGGCCAATAATTCAAAATCGGCAAAATTGAACTGGTTTCCTCTTATTTCTGAGAAATGTACGTAGTCTTACATTGCTTTGAGCGTAAAATATTTGTTCATTTTAAACACCACTGCGTAATTAACAAGTCCAGTTATCGATTATTCCAAACAAACCATAACAATGAGATCAATATTCCATAATCTGGCTATCAAAATGATTTCGCACAAATTCTTTCGGTAATGTGCTTACCATTTCGCCAAAAAACCCCGGAAATTTCGGTTGAAAGTCAAATGGAACAGTAATTTTCCAGAAAATGCGCTGGGAAATTGTAGACTACCTCCAGAGGTCGGAAATTTCATTGCCATTTGTCACGTTTTCCAGCCGAAAACAAGAACGGGAAATCTTATTTGTTGATATCAATAGGTCAATTCCGAGTTGCCTTGTGCCTGTTTCAAACGAGGCCTCGTGCAAAAGCTTTCATGTGAAAATGAGTTTGATTTGCATGAAAATGAACATGTAGCCGGAACACATTTCCATATGAATAGTTTCGTACGAAGAATCGTTTTGACTCAGAGGCAAAAAGCAACGTTCTCGGAAGTGGCCTGTTGTATCATACAATTTGACGAAAAAGCGAATGCATTAGCCAGGTTAAGTTTCGTTGGCCACATTACAAAGGGAGGAAAAGGATGAATTTTGCACCAATTCTGATACTTTGGCAGTTGCTTTTTCAGCGACAAAACGTGGTCGCAATCTTCTATTTATACACGTCGTCCAGGACAGAACAAAAGGTCCTGTAAATCCTGGTTCGTAATATTCCGCAGGATTTATCTTTTTGACAAAGCGGACGATGAAACATCTCTTAGTGTGTTTTACTCTGCAGCTGTCGGCTAAATCTACGCGTCAACAATTATGTTGCAAGCGCTTGTACTTTATGCTGTCCGCCATATTGAACGCTACTGTGAGATCAACGTGGGAAGGCGTCCTGGTTACAACATTGCAGAGGCCCCTTCTAGCTGGAACTCGTGCCAGCTCCACAGCAACAAATGATTTCGCATAAGTCATTGACAAGGTCAGACAATGCAACAAACTACGCAGGATGGTAAACTTATCTCTTTTGTCACTGTAATTCACCTTTTTTTGTCGCAGGTTTTCCCCAGCTCCTAATAAATTTGAAAAAGTAATTTTTATTGAGTTGTTTTCTTGTAAAAAAAAATACCTCTTAGTCGGCGCGTCGAGTATGTTATGGACGGGTCAATGGGTGAGTGAGTGAGTGAG